ATTTTAATAGAAAAATGTGTTTTTGAATAGTGATTGATAGAAGAGTGTGTGGTTAAAAAGTAAGGAAAATTTTTAGGTTTATGTGTAGTATTATTTTATTGATAGAATGTGGGGTTGAAATGAAGAAAGAGAAAAGAATGAGAATGGGAATGAATGCCAAACAGGGGTTAACTTTTGCTCATTCTTACAATGTTTTCATACCTTTTTTGTCAAATTCTTATAATTAATAATCAACCTTTTATTAATTTGTAAATTTGATCTCTGATGATGATATACAATAAAATATGCATTTTGCATTCTTATCAATTATCAAATGTCGAAGTATTAGTAACTTTACACTTTATCTAAGAAATCAAGTCATTGATCTTGCTCCGAAATTTGATTTTTAAGTTCTTGAATGTGTGACTTCAATCTTGACCTATTTCATAAGTCCGATTTGTAATGATAACTTTGATCTTTTGACGACTATCAATCAATTTTTCATAGTATGATTTGAAAAATTATAATCACTTAAATTCAACTTGTTAGTAAACAAGATTAACTTGTTTATTATAACAAAAAATTTAAAATTTTAATCAACCATAGATTAACAATTTAGCTATCATTCAATCAATTGAGCATCTTAAGTATAATTTATCTACTTATTAAAATATTCAATCATCTAAGAACGCTTAATGAATAGTTAGATTAATGCTTAACACTAGTGGAACTCCAAGTGTCCTACGTCTCACTTGATATCATCCGTGTATGTTTTTTCCATCGAACCGATAACGACCAAAGTGACACTGTAACGGAAGTTGAGTGACCAAGTTGTAACATTTTTCGAAGATGAGTAACTACATTAAAATTCTTGTGCCAAATGCGTCGAACAACACTGTTTAGTCTGTTTTTGACATATTTGACTTCGAAACCACTCATGAATACCCATCTTTGGCGTCCATTAAATTGAAATTTATTTTTCTCCCTCTTTATATTAACTATACATTTTTCAATAATATTACAGGTAAACCTAAAAACTTTTCTTTTTTTTAACCATACATTCTCCAAAAAATTAAAACTTTTTTTTCCTCATCTAAATGTGAAATAATGGTGGCCAAACAGGGGCTAAAGTTAAATTAATTTTAAATAGTTTCTAATTATGTGCTGCCAGAAAATATGCAATTAATATTTTTTTGGAGTTTGAATTCAAACATTTTAACCTGGAATGCAGCGAATGCTATCTTTTCAACTCTACACAAAACGCTCCTTCCCACTTCCACAAACGAGTCAGAATAGTTAAATAACGTCCCACCCCAAAACGCGATTTTCTTGCGATTTTACTATATCACTTCCTAAGCGTGTTTCCACCTTTTACAAACTGTAATTGTAACGCTCCTTCCCTTCATTTAACCTGTTCTTTCGGTACCCTAATCCCCTCCTTTATATACCCTCTACGCCATCTTCCTCACCCCCACCAACGCACCACCAATACATACAAAAAATGTATTTATAATCTATGTTGCAAACTTATAAATATAATATTATTATTTTTGATCTAGAGATTATCAGAATAGGGTTTGGTTTTACCTGTATTAATGGCGGCGATTGAAGGTTGTAATAAGATCAAAGGACCATGGAGTGTAGAGGAGGATGACCTGTTGCAGAAGCTCGTGCAACGGCATGGGGCGAGAAACTGGTCGTTGATAAGCCGTTCGATTCCCGGCAGATCGGGGAAGTCATGCCGTTTGCGGTGGTGCAACCAGCTTTCGCCTGAGGTGGAGCACCGGCCATTCTCGCCGGAGGAGGATGAAATCATTCTCAAGGCGCAGGCGGAGTTCGGGAATAAATGGGCGACGATAGCAAGGCTCCTCAATGGCCGTACAGATAACTCGATAAAAAATCATTGGAACTCGACGCTGAAACGGAAGTGCGCCGCGGCGGTGGATGGAGACGAGCGACCCGTGCAGGTTTTGAGGAGAGCGAACAGCGTGGATGTCACAGGTGTGGTTACGAATGGCTTTACGGTGAGTCCTGAGAGTCTGAGTCCGTGTGGTTCCGAAATCAGCGATTCGATTGAAAATGCTCTCGCGTATACAAATACGAATATGAATGTTTACTTTCCGGCTATCGGAAATGCAGTTTTCGCTCCACCAGTAGAATTCTCGCTGGCGGTGATGGATGAAGATAATGCAGATGATCCGTTGACGGAGTTGACTCTATCTATGCCAGGGTCTAGGGAAGACTTTGCGACGGCAGTGGTAACGGAAAAGGAGGATAAGAGCGAGACGTTGTCGTTTGGCCTCGAATTGCGTACCGTGCTGCAAGAGATGATTAAGAAGGAAGTGAGAAATTATATTTTGGAACGATGAAATTAACGGTGGTGATTTTAGGAACGCTGGAGCTAAACGTGTTGGCATTGGCAAACTTTTAGTAATTAATAATAATTAATTAATGGTTGCGAAATTTCAATTTTTCACACTGTAAATTTGAATTTCATACAACATATCCTCTTAATTCTATGTTATGGAAATTAGGTAGAATTAACTGGGGAAAATAACGACCTTTTTTCGAAGGCAATTCTTGGTGTTTTTCTTTTAGATTTTGGTATGGCTTCAATTTGGAAAAAGAGAAAATATTTTCAAAGAATTTTTAAAAACGTTAAATTTAACGATGATCACCCAACTTTATAGTTAATGTCACTATGGCCGCTCAATTTGATTTTATTTCATCGTGGTCACCAAAATTTATAATTTGTGTCATCATGGTCACCCAATTTCATATAATGTTTCATTATGGTTGCTCAATTTATTTTCACAATTTTCATTAATTTTAAAATGGATAAATCGATAACTTTGCATTATATATATTAAAAAATAAATAAAAAAAAACAAAAATAAAATAAACACGACGATTTGCACCCGCCTGCAGTGAAGGCCTAGTCAATCGTATACGATCATCTCATTAGGTCACCAACTTCCTTGATTTTTCAGCACTGGGCAGGCGTCGGTCCCATACATGGTTTTACGACTTTGCTAAGACCTGTGTTTTTGGTAAACAGTCGCCTAGGCTTGATCACTGCGCCCCCTTTGTGAGGAGGCACCCCTTCTCCCGAAGTTACGGGGCTAAATAAAATAAGAAATTATTTTTAAAAAAATATTCCTTAAAAAATAAAATAAAATATAAAATTATTTTTAAAAACGTTTTAAAAATAAAATAAAAACTTATTTAAAAAAAAGTTACTTAGAAAAGTAAAATAAAAAGTTATTTTAAAAAAAAATTTATTTTAAAATAAACGTTTTAAGTTTTTTTTTAAAATAAATTTTAATTTTAATTTTTTTAAAATTTATTTTATATATATAATGCAAAGTTACCGTTTTACCCCTTTTAAAATTAATGAAAATGTTAAAAAGAAGTTGAGTGACCATGAATAAATATTATATAAAATTGGACGATCATAGTGAAACGTTATATGAAATTGGATGGCCTGATGAAATAAAATCAAATTGGTGGTCATGGTAACACTAAATATAAAATTGAGTGGCCATGATGATATCAAGTATGAAGTTGGGCGGCCACCAACAAATTTAACCCAAGATCGACTAAGCAATCTCTCTCAACAGTGCTGTAAGTACATTTGAATATATACAAATGCTCACTAAAAATTTAATTTTTTATGATTATATTTATATATAACGATTCTTTCTTATTTACATATGGTTGATTTGTGATCATAAATGAACGTTGTAGCTGCCTACTTGCTCGCCGTTCTGGGAGGCAACGCCGCCCCTTCGGTCGATGATTTGAAAGGCATTCTTTGTTGTGGTAATTTATTATCTCACTCCTCGATTTTCTAATATGAATAGTCAATATCGGCCCACATATTATGGGTGCCATGTGTGATATTTTTAAAGCGACGTCCCTTTTATATAATTAAAAAATATATTATGATAAACTATATTCCAATAATATTATTTCATTGCAAAAATATGATATTTAAATATTTTTTTATTTTTGACATGTCGTGAATAAAAAGAGTACAAGAAAAGCTGAAAAACATCTCTCTAGCTTCATCAAAATTCATATGTGATCAACAAATAACCATCAAAGCCACTAACTTTTTCATGCAAGGGTGGAAGAGAGGAAAATAGCGAAAATAGATCTGGGTTAGCTTTTCACTCTTCGCTTTATTCTTTTGGATTTTAGGTTGCTTATTATCTTGTTGAATTGATAATTGGTTATAATTGGACATTTGGGATTTGGCTAGTAAAATAGATAGTTTAAAATTAGAAAAAAATATAAAATTCTTTAATAATACATTAAATTTAAAAAATATTAACGTAGTATAATTTTTTTACTCATTTTTTTTTATAAATATTGCGCCATTTAACTTAACTATAACAAAATTTTAAAGTTAATAAAATATTTAAAATTTATAATTATTCATATATATACATCTCTAATAAAAGGTTTTTTTGGTGCCCCTACAAAGTTGAGGCCCCAGTGTGATCGCTCAAGTCCTGCACCCTTTGGGCCGGCTCTGTGAATAGTAAAGACTGTTAATTTGTCATGCATGTTTATGTCATATTGAGTATATCATGTTCAAGTATTTTAGTATTTGTAAAGATATTCTATTTCTCTAGTGAAAATATTAACATCGCAGAAGTCTTATGCCATAGTTAGGGTAGTCAAACCAACTCTCATTCGAGCTCGAGGCAGTTCATTAATCTGGCCCTAACCTAGAGCCAGGCACTTCTGATTCTGCAATATTCTCTTCACTAAACTGTAGACGTTCTTAATTCTTTCATTTGGAAGTAGCCAAATGGAAATGTAGGTGAAAATGTGTGCATACACTTTATACTTTTTTGGTATTGAGGTCTGATTATTTGATTATTTTGAAAGTATAGAAAATTGAAGTCTAATACATTATCACAAAACTGTGTTGGCTTCTGTAGTTTATGATCTATGAAGTATGAAGTGAGCCTCAGTAGACATTATGGTGCTCTGTTTAGATTTAATTTTTTCAGTTTTAAATAGGAGAAAAATTTTGTATAAAATGTTAGGTTTCCCCAGGGCTTCATATACTTGATTTAGTTGGCGCATTAGCATTATGTCCCGTGGAGAACTTGTTGACCCAGCATCCGAATCCGATGAAGGACCTTTTAAACTGATTCTCTAACCTATAGTGTTTCTCTCTGTGAAGATTATTTCCAACTACAATTAAATTGAGCAAGCATGTGTGCTATTGCTGATATCATGTGCTGCTATTGTGCACTGTTGGGACCACACCTATTGTTGCAACAGATTTATTCCTCACGTGATTGTCATCCTTTTGTGACTTGCTTTCCACTCCATTTTCTGTATATATACATTACCTCTTTTGTATTCTTTCACTATTGAATATACAAATATTACACCAGCTTCTATCTGAGTTTTTTATTCTTCAATTTCTGTTATTTTAACTTGGTATCAAAGCCACAAATGGCTAATACCGGATCAGACGATAATGCTCAATCTGTGCTGCCTAATTCCAGTACACTGGTGCCTTTGTTGCTGGGAGGACATCAAGTAACATCAGTTGGAATCACACTTACCCAAGTGCCACCGGTGAAGCAAGATAGGAACAACTTTCTTCTATGGAAGAACATGATTATGCCAATCATTTGAGGACATAATCTTGAAGGGTTTGATAAGTGTAATTTTTACACATATTTGGGACCTAAAATAACGATATTTGATAGTTCTTTTGATAAAATATATTCTAAATTGTCACATTTTATGTTTAATAGGTGAAACTCTATGGATGGAAAAGAAATTGAAGAAAGGAAGCAAAATGTGGTGAAAAATGGCAAAATTCAATGTACAAGGACCAACTTGCATTATATGGAAGAATTGACGACTTGGAAGCAAGCACTAATTTAATTAGGCATTGGAATTATTTGGGCTCAACTTGGACTTCTAGTTGTAGAAAAATATTGATGAATTAGGTTTTATATT